ACTATTCCAAATATTAAAAGTTTAATTGAAAAATAAAATTAAATCAATATTTGCTATACGAAAATAACTTTTTTTGTACCAAAAATGTAATACATTATTTAAACACATTTTATATAAAAAAGAGCGCCATCTTACTCCTATCTACTCTATAGTATAGTTTATTTCCAGCTACTTATTTTTCTAATTCGATCAAATATATTAACATTTGATATTTTATTACATAATTTAAATATTATTGTATTTTTTTTTTTTTTTATTAAATGTTTTAACAATCATTAGCATCATATTGTATTAGTAAGTATGGTTGTACTTGACGGGTATACTACTTATACTCGTGATTTTTCAAAATAATGTTGAGAGTATGCGGCGTATATGTAGTATACCCTACAAAAACACCACTACAAACTGAGTATACTAATACTCGTATAATAGGTAGGTATGAAACTTTTTGTTAAACTTGATTTTGATAATATCATTTTATCATAATGAAAAATAATATTTTTCTCATTTCTTCGTAGACCACCGACAACTGTATACGAAATTTAGTAAGCCCAAGGCTAAGCATAATTTAATAATTAATATAATTTAGTACCTATAGATATAAATAAATATGCCTACGTGCAGGAAATGGATAAAATAAAATAATTTAATAATCAATATAATTTAGTATAAATATTAATAAATATGCCTACGTGCAGGAAATCCAGGGCAAAGGTGAAAACAACAAGTAGGAAATTAAGTAGATAGGTAGTTCTAATAGACAGTGTTATACTGGCCATTTCCCTTATTGATAAATTATTGCTCGTCGTGGACTTTGTTACAGCCACATTGCCGCGAGTATATAATTCTTAGACCAGAATAACTTGTTATTAAATTTTTTGTGTTTTTAACTGTTTGTTATTTTATTGTGATACATTAATAAAAACCGTAAGTTTTATAAGTTTAACATACCAGTATTTAATTATTCAATTACCTATCTCTCTCAACCCAACGTCTCAAGATAACATACCTACAACGTGCTACGTCGTTAAATAATTAATGTGGTACCGATCGTAGTGTCCTGCACAACGATCAATACAGAAATACGATTCACCGCCTTTAAGCGGTCCTCACACGATCAATATAACTGACAGTATTATTGCTCGTCTAATGCGAGTACTGGTATGCTGTCAGTATGAAAAAATGATACTGATGACTAATGAAAAATTTGGATATCGTGTCGTAAGATAAAATACGGTTACACCCGTACAAATTAAATCAAAATACAGATCAATACTGTGAATTGACACTAATTTTTACTGACGGTTTGAGTACTAAACTGTCAGTATTCATGCTGTCAGTAATGTTGATCGTGTAAGGGCCGCTTTAAGACGTAAGCATGTATAAAATTATACATCATCGTCCTAAAAAGGTCGTTTGAATTTCATTTTACACACTAGGCGATTGTGACGCGTGTGTCTACGTTTTTAAAACGTCGTGATTAATCGCTCTTAAAATCGATTTTAAGTTGTTAATTAAGTTTTTAATACATATAAAAATATAGTTGGCACCCTACAAATATATATTTTTCCCGTGTCCCTTATATGCAGGGCTGGCTCAAGGTATAAGCGAGCTAGGCACCTATCTAGAGTGGCACTTTAGTAGGGCTGGCATTTTCAAAATTGGCTCAAACATTTTTTTAGTTCTATTGGTGTCTTATAAGAAAAGTATTAAATTAATTCATTTGTGAAAACCACTTACGTAAATAATAAAAAAATATTGTCTAAAGTTATTATATTACTTTATATTACGGCCTACGCTGAGCGTTTTCAATTATTCAAAAAATATAGATAACCACATAATCACTTCCGTGATATCCGATAGTCGCGATAGTGATGGGTTTTGAGTAGTACTAATAGAAATCATTTTTAAGTCTTTTTACATATAATTTTATCCATAAATAAAAAATTAAAATTTTTTTATGTAGATATGTCACATAAAAAATAGGGGGAGGTGCTAGGTTAAAATAAGAGCTCAATTTTTTTTTTAGAAGCGGCAAAATTTGATTTTACCTAGTGCACTATTTTCGCTTGGGCCGGCCCTGCTTGTAGGTGGCCAGCACGAGTCTGTACACCATCATTCAGCGAGTATGTATCAATTGCGTAAAAAATCACGGGTAAAGAGAGAAACATTATAGGATAAGAGAAAAGGTATACATAATTTGCGCCGATCCGAGTGCAATATAATGTTGTATGTAATTTGCGACGTGTATAATAATATTACCACTGGTTTTAGAGCTTACAGATTAGCAGTATTGTACGTTTGGTTATAAATGGGTTTACGTTGTTGTGTTCATATGTACGTTTAAAAACCATTATTTTTATCATAATATTATTTTATTATTTGAAGATAGAACAAAATGTGAACGAATACTCGTTTATACATTTGTAAAATAAATTCGCAGTATTGTTCAGTATAATTCTATACGTTGTACGTATAGCGTTTGTGGTTCCAGATTATTATTTTTTTATATTTTAAATACATGGTTTCTAATTTCAGTCCCCCTTATTTCTAGATTTTTATTAACAATAGTTTTATTTAATTTTTGGTCGTACCATTTTTTGATAAAACGTGTATAATTATTTATCTCTATTCCTTGAATTATCTCTAAAATGTACTGTTCTATTATTTTGGAAATTTATATTTTTTATTTCATTGCTTAGTTCGATTTTATTGTTAAAGTATTTATCTATAAAAATAATTAACTAATAAATAATAATTATTTAATATATTATCTCATAATTTTATTATATAAAAATTAATAAAGAAATATATAAAATATATGATACTGAATATTTTATTTATTTTAATAAATAGTTATTCAACTGGTTGTATTCCAATTTAAGTTAATATGAAACATGTTATTATAAAAATTCAAAATTAAATTTTATTTATAGGATAAAATTGAATTCTTAAAATAATTTATTTAATAATGGTAAAATTAATAAGATTAAAATGTATATTAATATTGCAGTTACTCCACCTAATTTATTAGGTATGGCTTGTAAAATTGAATAGGAAAATAAAATACATCATTCTGGTTGAATATGATTATGGGTAATAATTGAATTCGCTATAATAAAATTATTATGATTTAAGTAAATTATTCACTAAGTAAATAAGGAAAAATTAATGTTGAAATACATAAAAATAGCCAGTATTGTACATTATCTAAATAATTTATCTAGATAAAAATAATTTGAAGTATTTTTTTATTTATCTTTCTAAATAAAATGGTTATCTGAGATAAATTATTTAGATAATTTTGAATAAGATCATTTTTTCTGTGGCAAGTGAAACGAGAAATAAAAAATATTTGGCAGTATCATAAATACGTTTTAAATTTGTAATAGACATATTATATAGACAAAGCAAAAGTTAAAACATAATTATATAATTATTTTTACAGAAAATATAATTTCAAATAATATTCAATTTTATAATTATATAACCTTTTTTTTTTTTTGTTTAATCGACAACTAGGTGATATCTGCTTGCCCAATGCTTACGGAATATAATAATATACCTAATATTATAGATCAATATAATAGTATAGGCAATAATAATTAAACACATACAGTAATAAAACGTCAATCTCTGGCTGGAACGTTCCATAAATAACTTCGTATAAGCTGTGATTATAATGATTAGAGGAATAAATAATAAATCCAATCACTGACTTCTAGTGACCATGGCTACATATATATGTGAGTGTGTATTATATGATTTGGAGTTTTTCTATGAATTTTGTTTAACTGCATGTAAATCAAAGACTAAGTGATGATCATTAAATTAAATTAGAATATTACCAAATGACAAGGTAGAATTATACACATATATAATACGTATTATGTATACTTCTATCATATTAAATAGTTAGTTGTAGTTTACATCATACTCGTTTTGTAATAAACAAACAAAAATAGGTATATTTTTCATTATTAATTATTTCAATTATAATATGTTGATTAATATTTTGTTTATAATTTTGAATTGTACCACTAGAGTTTGTAAGCTAATTAATAATTAATAATATAAAATAAGAATAATTAAAAATAGTTGATTTTTACTATTATATAATATTTATGTTTAAAAAATTATAATTAAATTATAGGTTATTTATAGTAAAATTATAGGTTTATGAAAATAAAAATAGGTTAATGTACTTATTTTGTGTCTAAATTAACCAAATAGAGAAGATAATTTTAAACCAAATATATCATAATTAATAATTTTTTCATTTATTAAAAAATAACCATTTTACAAATGTATCTTTTGAATTATGAAATCTTTTAAAATTATCTGTTTTTTATCTAGATGCATTTTAAATTAATTATCCATTGTATTATCTAGATATTTTTTGGTTATCTATGTACAATGTTGTCTGTAGCTTCTAACATTTATAGAAGTGCTAAATTTTTTTCATGTTCATGCTATCCCTAAACGTAATCACTATTAAATACAATATTTACAGACATCGATATAAAACTAATTATTCGCATCACTTCATTCAAAATCCAAAACCAAAGAGCACTATTTTTTTCAATACCTAGCATTTCAATGATGTTTTACATTTTAATTATAATTTATGTTTCGCCGTTTTTAGGTACACTCATTTACTGTTTAAGATTTCATGTCATAGGGTATTGATATAATTATAACGATTTTACTGAATGTTGCATAAAATATTGATACTTTATTGTTTTAAAGAAGAACAAGTAATATTAACTCATTAAAACTAAATATATGTAAAATATGTAAAGCATATTTATTATAGAATGCACAACTGTTACAAATATGTTTACAAATTATAGTCATAATAAATCATATACACTTAAGTTTTTGATAGTTAAATAAAACCCAAACACCTTTAAGTTTTTCTAGAAAAAAAAAAAATTGACAAAACTGTAATTTTTTAAAAATTAATTTTGAAAAAATGAGTAAAATAATAAAATTGTTGTTTTAAGGAGAAAAATCATTCTTCATGCTCGCCATTTTGCCCCATAATGTTTGGGCGAGTTTCATCGAACCGTTGACTTGATATTCAAAAAAGAGTTGATTATGATAGATCATTTTAACGCATTTAATGAATTTGCAGATAACGAACACAAGTAAGCTATTTGCATAAAGAAAACAGGACACTTGAAGAAATTTCATCAAACTTTTAAACATTTTTTGCATGACCAAGTAAATCTCGAATTGCGGTCCGCCGTTTTCTTTAGCTGTGGTGCAGTTTTTATTCGGAACTGGGTACTGCAAAATGTATTCCAGGTATTCAACGTAATCCAACATTTTAACCAATGTGGTTTTCAAGTTAATCGTCTGCAATTAAAATCAAAGCATTATTTCTGTAGATAATTGTTATTAATTTTCAACTAAAAATTATTTAATTATATTGATCAATTACTTTTATCATATGTTGGAGTTTCATTGGTCGCTCTTTCAATTTTTTTGTCACATTGCAAATCCTAGCCACTTCCTGTTTGTCAACGCATTCTCTACTCTTGTTCATTTTCTCCAAGAACATGTAAAAATTGTCTTCAGAGACATATTTTATTTCATTGTAGCTTAAACGTTTGAAAAACCAGAAGTATTGATCAAGACCGAGCAAATGAAGCCAATCAAATATAACACCATCCATATCCTCCTTCACGATGTTTGACACCAAATCACGATCAACAATAATGAACTCTTCTAAACCAAACATAAAAAAAATTAAAAAAATGATTGAATATATCAGATTTTATATCAATATTCGATTAATTTGAAATTTAATCGGTTAAAATGTACATTTAAATTTATTACAATTATGCGTTCAAATTGATAACGGTATGATAATTGTTTGTACTGATAAATTAATTTTAAAATATCTTTAAACGTATGTTATATGTCCGGTAAATGTTTTATAAGTTATTTACTATGTGGTTTGAGGTCTGTGCAGTAAACAGAAAAATATTTCTTGTTATAACTCATCATGATACAGTGCCTTACGTATAATTTTCTTTTATAACATACTATCATAATCACGAAATAATATTTCGTTTAATCGATTTTTTTTCTTTTAAATATAACAGTATTTGTATGTATTATATTATTATATTATTTGCTATCAATGTATTTAGTTTCAGTCGGTTAGTAAAAGTTATAATTTAAAACAAAAACATATTCGAAATACATTCATAATAATTATGATCTTAATCATTATAATAATTATTATCTTTTTGTTTTTAAATTTTATAGACATTAAACGAATACTTAAATAACTAATAATTTTTTTTCAATTTTCTAAATGATAAGAATGATAAAAATTTAATTTAAATAACCTAGAGATTGATATATATGTTAAGTCTATTTGAAACGGTTACAGTTCTGATAAGACAGTATCTAATAAAACTTTTATTAATATATACATAAAAATTATAACAATTGTAATACGAACAATTTTGCGATCAGAGAAAAACTGTTTGAATTTATCTAGTATATAGTATCAAGCAAAATATATATTTATTATTTATTATACCCGATGTTGATTTGTATTTAAAAATTAATTGCATTGATCGTATCAAGAAATATAACCAAGGAAAAAAGTATACTTGCCGTCAGTTTCCGATTTGGCTGCAGATGACGACATGCAGTAGTTACTTGGGATGAACTTCCGAATGGCTGAACTGTTCAATTTCCGGCGCAGGTACTCGGTGCGATCCTCTACGCGTTTGTTGAGCTTTGGCCACGACGGTAGATCAGTTATGCGGTACTTAAGCCAGTACTTGTGTTGAAAATCGTCCTTGCGCAACACCTTGAACTTTTCCTTATCAATCTCCGCATCTCCCTTCACGTACTGCTGTCCACCGACGGGATTCGGCTTGGTGCCGGCCACCACGATGTCACCTGTAGCTACGTCTTTTTGCTTGATCTTGTAAAGTGGATTACCGTTTACGTTTATCCACTGTATGCTCCCGTCAGCAAAGCTCCTCGGTGGCCTAGTCCCGTCGGTCCAAATCTTCGGTTTGATATTGTCGGCAAAGATCCTGGATCTGGTACCGTCGGTGAAACGTAATGTTCTGGTGCCGGCCGTCAAAACATCGATTTCGCTGGTCCGTTCGCTATTTGATTTCATCCCGGTGCGTTGAACCACAACGGTGTACCGATGTTCCTGAGGCTGGGCTCTCCAATATTCCGTTCTGAACCTAGGTTTCGCAGAGTTGTTCAAATACACCATGACGTCTTCTCTGGAGATTCTCGACATACTAGCTGGCAGAAATAAAACCGACGAGAAAAGCAAACGAATGGGCAAAACTATCGCGAGTGCAAGACAAGTGAACGCTGAAGTGAACGCTGACGACTGTTCGGTTACACTACGGTACGCAGAATGTCGATGGGCTGAGGTATATCACAGCCGCGGACGGGTGGCATGTGAAAAACTTTCCTCCCACCGACCGACCGCGGCCGACGAGTTTTACCCCTCCTGCGAAGGTCTCGCGCACGCGCACGAAAAACCACCTGCATCGTTTGCGTCGCAGCTGCCCGGTTGATCCATCGCCCGCGTTGCCAAGGAGAAGCAGGACCGATCGCACCGCTGACCCGATCGATCGTACGGGTCGTCCCCCGACCACCGAACCTGTTATCCCCGCACCCCATGTCCTTACCCCGTCGTCCGGGTCACTCGTCGGCGGCCGTCGTCCTTCGCTTTTTGTCCTTTTGTCCGTGCATGTGCATGTGCGTGAGCGAGTGTTTAAAACCCGTATGGGTTGAACAGAATTTTTACCGAGCCAAGTGTCACACTTGTTGCTTCTTTTCCAACTATAATATTTATACATCTTGAAATGGGTTTTGCGTTCTTAGTGACAAAATGTGAAGTATCCGAATGCATTCATCGTCAAGCATCACGATGATATTCGAAGATTAAAACAAAACAACTTTAGGAATTTAGGAATTAATCGAAATTTCAATAACTACTCATTACAATTAAATTGGACTGAAAATATTCGGTACATGCAGATGAGTAGACCGTACAGTGTAAACGCATTTCTAATCACGTATCGTAGTTAAGTGAACACGGAAATACCCCCCCCCCCCCCATCATCCACCACAGAGCTGCATCCCTCGTTATGGAATACTTAGAATTTTAAAAATAATGGCGTTTAAAATTAGGTTTAAAAAACATCCCCTGTGGAATCAATGATTCCCGTTCATACAACGATTTTCCGATACAGCGTACCACATTATATATTCACTAACTTACATTGCACGTTATTAACGAAAAGCTGCCGAGTAAATTAAACCGAATCTAACCGTCCGAGCAGTGCCGCAAAAACCGGATGTGTAGAGTGTGTCGCGCACACGGGCCCTAAAGCTTACATAAATTTGGAGGGGCCCCCTAGTCAAAGCCTGAAATAAACTACACTTTACAAACACACAATAATTAAATAAAATAATAAAAAAAAAAAAATAATAACAATTTGTTTTTAAATAATTATTATTTCATAATAAAAAGAAATTTTTTTAAAATTCAGGTAAGGTTTTTATAATATCTTAGAATAATATAAAATTTATTGAACAATGAGTCCATTGAGTATTTCAGTTAATACATACAACATACCTACCTAAACTACTTAAATAAATTTACTACATAAATACGTAATGAAGTATAATATACAACGGTTATAGGTATTTAAGTTTGATATATATATATAAACATATATCATACACTAACTGGTGTGAAACGTGTTTTAAAACCTAAAAAAATTGATACTTAAATTGAACAAAGATAAATCGCAGGAGGAGGCTCAACATAACTATCGGGCCTCCTATTTTGTAGTTGCGGTACTGCGCCCGAGTTACCGAGAGACGCGGACCGAAACAATGTTTACCTGCGCCTGCGTTAAAATCAGAAGGATTTCGTATTCTATGCTTATTATTTAAAACGTCCGGGTCGCGGTGGTCGCGTTGATTTTCGTCGTCGGGAGAAATATCACGCGAATACCACGAAAAACCTCGCAGTCATTCGGCGTCTACTGCACGCGTTACTACATAGGGTTAAATATTTTTCGAGTCGCAGGACACACGTGCACGCACGGAACGGTTTTCGATTTGCAAACGAATTTTAAAACGATAACAATGTTCATAGTTTAATCGTTGTACTATCGTTTGCGTACTCGTAGGCGCGTTGTTTTCTCTGTCACGGTCGAATCCGTCCGACGATAATCGTTATTTGGTGTGGGTTTTGATTTCTTTCGTGCGATGACGTCCGTCGCGCACACCAACGCGCACAAGCCTACGGGCACTCTTACGCACGCACACGACGTTTTTGCCTACTTAAGCACTCTCACTCACTCTCTCTCTCTCTCTCTATGTGCTCTTACAAACACACGCACATGCACACATACCAAGTACAATATCACGGTCGTGCGACCCGAACGTCATTCCGTATGGTTTCGTTTTCCTTCGTCTTTCACACCGCGTCGTCGACCGCATCGGAACGCGTAAGATGCGAGCTCGGGACGGGTGAGGGACGGGTGAGGGACGGGTGGAGGGGACAACGTTTTTTGTTCAACGCACCCGGTTCCAGTTTTCAGACGGCGGACCAAGGCAGTGTGTACTCTGTTACGTAATATATTTTATTTTATTACGGCAGTAACACCGGCTTCAAAGACCCGGTCTCCGAGCGAGACGAGGAAAAAACATATTTCGAATAATTTATCCCCCGACGAAGATGTTTGAATGCGATCCACATGTATTGTGCGGTGTTAGCGTATTATTATTCCGTCTGCGGATGCGTCCAGCCGAAATATTCGCCTAAGACCCGTACAAATGTTTTCCTCCGAAAGTGGTTTTAAACGTGCACCGCACCGTGGGAAGGCGAAACGCGTAATAATTTATGTAGGCATAATATCTTATATAACATGCAACTTTTTGCTCCGTGATCGATATCGCCTACAGCCGTTAAACGGAATTAAAATTCCGAACCACTAATGTAAATCTTCAACGCTTAAGTGGTCGAGAACGGAATATTCTATAGCGATTTACGTTAGCTGTAAGTTGGAATGTTGTTCGGCTATTTTCTAGGTATTGATAAATAATATGAACGTTCAAAAAAAAAAAAAAAAAAACAGCAATAATAATAAATTATACCTATTAAAAGTATATAATTTTTTTTTATATGAAATGTTTAATTATGCATTTTTATTTTGGAATAAAAAAATATAAAATAAATTAAAAAATAAAATAAAAATTTTAATCGTGGCTACTTGAAAAGCAAAACGTTAAAATATGTTGTAGTGTAATGTCACAGTTTGTCAGTGTATTAATTACTATTAAATGTGATGTAAAAATAAACTTTGAAATATATTTAATTAATAATTATTTTTAATAAATATTAAGTTTAACATTTAATATGTTGTATCGTCAAATTATAATATTGATCGGTTACGAATAAATAATTTAAAAAAAATTTAGAATAATCCATTGGATTATTCTAAAATAATTAAAATTAATTAAATTAATGTAAAATATAATTATATAAAACTATTTATAATAACAACATTATTTATATAACAATAAAGAAAATAAATTCCTTTTGATTTTTAATCATTTAAAACAATGTTACTCAATTCTCATGACATTTAAAATTCATACAATTTTCATTTGCTAAATATAATTTATAATTATAATCAAACACATTTTGTTTATTGACTAATATAACATCCCTTCCAACGCGTCAAATCTTTTATCATTTATGTTTCATTCTTCATCAAATCATTCTGTTAAACTTTTTCGTTCAGTAGTCATTTATAACATAGTTACAGTACCTTTTTTTTTTATATAATAGGTAATAAACTCCATTCTATAGTCCAATTGTTACGCTCATTCAATGTGGTGGGAAATTCGGAGGATCCCTTGCCCTGGGAATGCTTTTGAGTCACTCTAAATAATTGTAACATTAATATAGTTTTATAGTGTACATCTACGTTCGTATCATTAATCATTAGATACTATACTCAAAATATTTATTTCTTTAGGTAATATATATTATTAACAATGCATGAAAGTGGAATTCGGTGTGGTGATGTTTTGGGGATAATTTCCGCGGGATGATTTTCGTAGATAATTTTGCAATAACCTATCCAAATCCAATTTAAAATAAATCATTAAACTAAAGTATGACTAACTTGTAATTTTTCTGCATTAATGGACTGTTAAATAAGAACATTATTTTATTTTTTTTGTGATCGTGTATACATAAACCAATTACTTTATAGTTATATAGACATATACACATATCTAAATTATACGCAGTGCCGGACCTAGGAAATTTGACGCCCGGGGCTAATAAAAATGCAGCAACCTTACGAAGATGGTAGTAGGTGGAGTGTGTTAATGACTTATTTTATTTTTTGTTAACTTAATAGCGCCGGTATACCAATAGCGCCTGGGTCAAACATACCCACTCCTAGATCTAAAACTCATTGTACGATATTATTCTATAGCTATTTACATTATGATTATATTAATGTAAATAGCTATAGAATATTATACAATAAAGTATTCTAGATCCTATTCAATTTAAAATAATAAAGTATAGCAGCGGACGGAAACCCGTCGGGACCGCACATGCTGGCGATAACGACGTCGGTAGTGTAAAACGATTTATAACTGATGCGATAAGAATCGACCGGAAACGTTTATTGCCGGTCAATTGATTCTAGAGTTGGGAAACGGACAGCGATTATTCATGCATCTGCAAACTGGTGTACTCCACATGTTGAATAGAGCAGTATTTCCAAACTTAAGGATCGCGACTGGCAACCAGTTCCATCTGGCAGTTCAGTACTATGATCATTAATAGGACTGTATTACCACATATTTATTTATTTTTATTTTTTTTTTTTTAGTTTTGACGTGGGTGGGTCACCATTACAAAAAGGTCGAGAAACACTGGAATCGAGTATTAGAGTATAATAACACTTATTGAAATCGTACGGAATCGTGTAGTTTAAAAAGGTATCGAAGATTACGCAATCGTACAATCGTTTTTATTACGCAATCGTGTTTTATCTAGAGAAATTTTTTTAAAAAAAAAAAACAGTATTCATTTTCTGATAACTCTCGTAAATAATTAGTCTGCGTCTTTGTACAGCAAAGAGTGTGTTATAAAGTTATTAAAATATACAAATGTACAAGGTATATTTTAATTGTATTACAAAATAATATAGCGTAATCTTAATATGGTACTTCTAACCTTCCATTCTTCTTTTATTAAAATTAATATTATATTTTAATATGATATTATGATATAAAATAGCAGTCAAGGATTAATTGGAGCTTAAGTCATTTTTGACTGAAAATATTTATGTTGGTATT